GGGAAGAGGGTCCCCGAAAAGTTTGAGATGCCAAGGCAGATTCTCCCCCCCCCCCCTCCTCCCTGTTTTTCCTTCCCCCGTCATCGTTTTTTTTTCTTCTAGGATCCTGGTTCCGGTGGCATCCAATATTTGGGGATAGCTCCTAGGGTCACGAGAATAGACATGCACGCGAGGGTGGTATGGCAGACGGCTGGTCCTGTTACGAGACGCCGACCACCTCATTCGTGCTACACGGAGGCCACCGGGATCCCGACCCGTTACCAGTAACTCTTTCACAAAGACGTCTCGTCAACTCACGAATATCTCCGCCTAAGTAGACGAAGATACGCTCGTTGAATAAACCGCCAATCTGATGCATATCATCGCAGTGACGGTCGTTGGGTGGTGGATGCGTCACGATGATACAAGGTCGCCGACGTTGTTGGCCTTGCCGAACAGGCTGGACGGAATTTGGGGTGAACGGTTCCTCAAACGTTATGGCCCCCGCCCCCCCCCCTGTCCGGGAGACTCCGTATCCGAAATGAAACTTCTGCAGGTGGTCGGCGACCACTTTGCAGCGATCGCCCTCTAGCACACCCCTGTAGTCCCCGAGCCAGCCTGCGAGGAACCACATCACGCCCAAAGTCAACATGACCACCTGATTGGTTGAGACCCGCATCGCAATGTATCAACTCTCCATGTCTGCTCCTCGCTACTTGTTTCGTTTCTCTGCAGAGACAAGGCCTCGGTAGGGGGTTGGTTTTCATCCCCTCCTCCTTCGGGGCTACGCGAGACAGTCATTGCTTTTTTTTCCCGGCCTCAGAGATGCGTGTTGTTCAGCGGCGTGCTATGCAACCCAGGCCTCCTGAGAGGGGGTTGAGGGAAATGGAGGGTGGGGGGTGTGGTGTTTAGTGGGATGTCCTCACTCACTTGGTCACTGCTGGCTGGACCGGATGGTATGGACAGGACGAAGTCCTTGTTGCCTCGTCTGGCATCCGAAGGACTTTGGGCTGGGCAGTTTCATAGACAAACCCGCCGTGCAGACCGGGACGGGGAGCAAACTCTCCAGCCCCACTGGTCAACAAGCATCGTTTCTCAACACACCGCGAGCAGCCAAAACCTTGGTTCATGGCGCTCGGACAGCGTTCTGCCTTGAGATCTCGCTGCTGGGAGAAATCCTCCTACTTGGCACGCCTGTCGTCTTGACCATCTACGGAAGTGATGAGCGGTGCAAGACTCGGTTGGCAGGGCTCACCGGTTACGATTGTGATGTGCGGATCGTCGACGACTATTCTAGCATGGGCGATCCGTGATCGGGGCCGATGGGCTCCCCGGCCCACCCGTCTTTTTTTTTTTTTCATCGGACACCCCCCCTCGAGAGCTGCCAGTCCAACCACTGGGACATTGGTCATTGGGGACTACACCGGGGAGTATTCTCCTGGTGGCTGATATCATCCTACAGCCGGTCGGAATCGAGGCGATCCGATCGCGAAACGGTTGTGATCGACAACATTCAGTGAAGGGTATCCTATTACTGGCAATTTTTGACTGAGCCGTAGTCGATCGATGCAAGCCCTGTGGGTTAATACAGAAACTAGGCACATCTCCCGGCAAGGGCCTAAGGCCTGCTGCGAATTTGACTATGATTGCTATAGCAAGATGCCATCACCAATGGGTGTCACTCTATCAAGCGAGACCACATCGTCTCGAGAAAAGCAAAGGCACAGGGTACGAGATTTGTCCAAGCAGCCCTTAAAGCTGACAGAATGAATCATATCAAAATGCGCAACCTCGAGCATTCAGCAAAGAATACATGGATTTCTATAAAATCGTACAGGACAACAGGCAATGCACTGTGCTGGACTTCTTGCTATCGATGCCGAACTGTTAGGCTTGAAATATGAAGCGATTACGAAAGCATGCAATAGCTAGAGGAAAGGTGCATCTTACAGCAGGCGATGTGACTGATGTGACTATCAAACATCTGCTATCTCCCCCTCCCATCCCCAACCTCCTGATGCTGCAGCATCAAGCTTCTGCATGCCTGCTGCCTCGCAAATCCGTATCACGAGATCCCGTACAGCGGCGACCTCCTCCTTAGAGGCACCTGCATTCAGTGCGCCTCTAAGATGACCCTTGAGCTGCGGATTGACCTGTGAATTTGTACTCAGCATATATATCCTTGGTTCTGGGTGCTCAAGTCCTTACGTCTTGGGGTATCAGGCCAGCGATCAAGACGAATGAAGTCTCCGGCGCAGACAATATCCGGGTATTACTCAGAATGTGGCCGTACATGAGACGGGCGGTGACAGCCAAATCCTCTGTGCCACACCTCTCCATTTGACCCATGATTCTTTTTGATATCTTCCCGTATATCCTGTCCCAGAACTTTGCACCACGGTCCAAAATCTCTGACGACCCATTCTCTATGTCATGCCGCCGTGTTGGGGGTGAGGCTTCTCCAGGGTCATCCAGCAGATGAGATGGCGTTACCGCCTTCATCGCCATAAGAGCATTTATGGTCTGTGATGGGGACCTGTCAGTGGGACAAGATGCTGGAAGAGCGAAGCGAACCTTACCTTGGGAAGGCCTCCGACAGCGGATGCCTTGACGAGAGCCTCACGCATACGTCTAGCGATGGTGAGTTGCTCATCCACCGATAGATGCCCATCGGCCAGACCAGCTGCACGTCCGATAGCATCATTGAATACCTTTGGAATCTCGTCCGGCCTGTTCAGTATGGACAATGTGGTGGCTGTGATGAAGTACCACGAGTTACGGGGGAGAGATCGCGAACTACGGATAGAAGATAAAAAGGCTGGCGTGATGAATGAGTTCATGGTCGATGCTGTTGAATATTCGCGGTACAGCCTATGTACTGGGCTCAATATCCACAACTTCTTCGGCAATGCTGTGAGTACGTTCAGTATATTGGCAGCGATCTGTGGGCAATGAAGCTCAAGGCGCTTTTGCAGATCGTTCGCCCGTCGCCGAGCCAGGAATCAATGAACTGACTTATGATGTCATTCACGTTTTGCAAGTGATCATTTTACGAGAGAATTGGACATCGAAAAATGAAATAGTGAAGACAGTGAATTCATGAGTTGATTGGCAAATGTTGCAAGTGACACATAGGAAGCCAAAAAGTTTATCTCATGTTATTCGATACCTCGTGAGAGCAAGTGAGGTTGGTCGGAGAGTCGGCGAACAACCCCCCGACCCCCGCCACGGCCGCTGGAAACCCAGTCACGTGGCCTTATCGCGGAACCTGCTGCGTCATCCACCCAAGCTTCCACCAATAGCAGCCACGTCCGTCTCAGTGTAGCTTCCCGATTCCTAACGTGGCTTCAACCATCAACGAGCTGCTAGCAGGTCATCATCGCCATCATAATTTTGGCTTGGCCCAGACACACACACACACCAGCCCGCGCTTGTTCATTTGTAGTATAATGGGCACCTGACGCACTTTCTACAACTCCCAAACTCCTTTTCCAGGAAATACACGCAGCGCGACCAATTCCACATCCTTCAGCGATGCGGCTCGTGTGGTATGCCGGGGTCAGTAAAACATGATCAACTCC